AAAGAAAAATAAGTACCAAGCTGTCCAGGCAAAAGATAAAATCCCCTTATAAATAATAAAAAAGAAGTATGGAAGTCTTTGATGTGAAATTTATACTACGTTTTAAGAATGTCGAGATTTAACGACGAAAGCTTGTAATGCATAAACGTTGAAGCGGTATCCATAAATTTCAATTTTTGTGACTTTTTTTTAAAATGCATATATCGTTGAGAAAGATCCAATGAATATGCTAATACTTGTTGTTAGAAAGCGACGTATTATTTCGTTTTCACGCACGGGACGTATAAAAGCAAAGCCTCGAGGAATTTAATACAGAGTATGAAAAATTCAGATACCTTTTTTAAAAAATCTACCGCAGTTCCTCTCTGACCATCAGGCAGCTTTGAAATTTTGATTTAATTATCTGTTACACAGCTACAAATAAAAAAAAAAAGATGAAAAGTACTCCCAACACTATCACCACACCGTAGATTTTTGCATTTTTAGCTTGCAGATGATATATAAACTAGAAAGTAGAATAAATTACTTAGAACGAGTAAAATATAACCGAGATAACAATTTAAATGAAAGAAAATATTTAACAAAGCATATTTCTTGCTTTGTCTTTTCAAGTTACCCATTGTCTAAAGAAACCTGGATCTATTTGTTGCGGTAACCTAATGCGTTTCTCGGTGCAAAAGGAAGGGGAGAAAAAATGGGGGAAGAGAAAAAAATTGCTGGAGCATTGACAAATGGATAAGAAGAGTTTCCAGACAGGTGTACGAGGGAGTTTCTCGTTCTGAAGCCGAGTGAAACATAGTTGCACAGTTTGGCCGTCTATTTGTCGGTCTAAGGATCACCCTGTACGTTTGCCCGTCTCGAGACACCCTTCTAACGGTTCACGCTTATTGAGCAATTCCCCGACATGAATGCAGACACAAGCTCCCTGTGCGATGCCTTACATCGCTTTCACGTTCTCTCCGCTCCCATCGAGGTCGTGCATCGCGAGCCCACCCAATTACTTGGATACAGATCGTTAGCGATTTCCAAAGAGATTTCCTGTACAATGCAAACTCGACCTTAACGCTTCCCTTTCGACCTGCTTTACACAGGAACCGCTTTCACCCGAGCCACAAATCGGCCGTCTACAGAAATCATAAATAAATCTCGATACCTGGTGAAACGTGAAATTGAAGCGTCATATTTCTACGAATAATAATTTGTAAGAAGCGCGATCATAAATTAAGAGAGGTTTCATTAATGTGCTCTGTGAAATTACTAATTCCCAAATTTCGAAATTTTTCATCAGCTAATTAATCCTCATTAGGGAATTTTCTCAGCTCCCTCGGATTTCCTCATTCGATTCATATTAATGATCTCTCCAATCGCATCTCGTCGAACAGTGCAATCATCGAAGCACGAAGTCTCAAATGTTTCCGCGTCAGGGAACCTGCTGCGGATAGTAAAATCTTTGGAATAACGCATCAATGTATTCGCAATTTCAGAGGCAGGGTGCACTCGAGTAATTACTATTTTCTTGCCCTTAAATCGCGCTCGGAATTATTATTCATGAACTGAACAAACTATCGCGTATTGTCTGTAACAACGCGGGTCGTCCGAAGCGTTGACTCGCACTACTGGCGCTAAGTAAATCACGCGTTCCCCGTTGTTTTTCGGCTTCGTTTACACGGATACGGTGCGGAGGGGGGAAGGTAAAATAACTCGATGGACGAGAGGAATCTCGTTACCATTATCGATCGACGAAAATTCGCGACATTCCGTGGAAAAGCAAGAGAAACAGGGAGCGGTGAGCCGCAATCCAACTGCTTCGATATAATTAGATTTACGTCGCTCGTGTTCGGCTCGCTTGAACGGAATCCAAATATTACTGTAAATTACGAGGCAAGAGAAAAAAAAAGAAGAAGAAGAAGCACAGAAAAGCGGCCACGACCCGATTCAGTCCCTTGATTCTATTCACGCTAGCCAACCAGCCAGCTAAGGTTAACCCCCTTTGCGGAACGTTAACCCGACTCTCATAGAACTATGAAGAGAAAAAAAAAAAATGCACAGGGAAGAAGACGGGCGAGTCCGCGAACTACACGCATTCATAGATGCGAAACTTTGGACTCGTTGCAATCGGGATAAAAGCTTGAAAGACCGGCAAGTGCTGTCACGTGGCTGGGCTGGAACTCGGATTATCTGGCTACCCGTTTAACCAAAATACCCATTACCGTAATACTGGCTGCATGAAATGGTGACTCGGAAGAACAGAAAGCGCCCCGATTGCGGAACGACGCACGGGGCGTGGGAGGGAAGGGGAGAAAAAACGAGAACAGTGCCATACCTACCGCGTTTAGTGCGTATTACTTAGCGTTGATGAGAGCCTTGATAATAGGGGGAGAAACGGAAAGAGAAAATTGCCGTTCCCGGAATTAGCTAACTAATTGAAAGTCATACAACCGAGCGAGTTGTCGGGAGGATTCTTTTCGACGAGACCGAAATTGGGATTCGGAAGGAAGTTTCGTACCTCGACCGCGCCGGTAGGGTGAAATACTTTTCCACACGTGACTGGCGTTAAATAGATAAACTGGCAAGGATGGCAGTGTCAGGTAGAGAGTTCGGGGTTATATCGATAACTCCGCATAGATAAATAACGGTACGCTTTAACGTTTGTTACCGTTTCGCTATTTCAGCACATTTCACCCGTATCCCACATAACATCCTCTATTCCCTTTGCACCGGATACGTCGCTGAATTCTAGCGTGTAATACCGGGTTCGAGGTACTATAACACCAAGTGGTGGCACACTTCAGACATCGATATACCTTGTATCCAGGCATCTCCCCGTTCGCCGTCGACATAAAAGAGATTTCATATAAAGGACAGTAATCTTCGAGGGATAAGTCGAAATGCACATAGAGTTCTTTCGGTTCGAAGACGTCGCATTCAATTAGACTGGCAGGCTCTAGGAAAATTGCAAAGGACTTTGCGTGCCATCCAACGATGCAACACCGACGATACGGGCTTGTTTCATTATCTCGTATCCCCCTTCCCTTTACCTCTTCTTCTTTTTCCTTTATCCCATTCCCTTTTCCGTCTCTATCCAAGCACGCAATGAAATTTTGCACGAGCAAGACCGGCCCGAAGCATATAGCGACAATAGAAGCAGCGTACGAATTGTTCGACGGAGACCTTCCTATTGATTTTCACCTGCCTCGATTTAATTCGACCCAGCTCCCGGCCCTTGCTCCCTTTTCAACAACCCTACCCACCCCCGCTACCCGTGGTCCTACCCATCCTTCCGGTTCGATCGACCAATTATTGCGTAACGCGGTTACCGCACGCGCGGGGGTGAAGACAAATAACGCGGTAATAACCCGATGAAAAAGCGGCAACCAGTACGGTCACGTTTGTTTGTTTCGTTGCTTCGACGAGACGATGTCATCCGTCAAGCGAAACGGCTTTCAATCCCGCTAACCCCCGAGACTGTAATATTCCCGCACGCATACGTAGCGACGAATAAAGAGATCTTGTGATATCGGATTTCGAAACTCGGTTTTCATTCGTTCCGCTTTGATTTCTCGCTTCGTGGATATAATAAATAACCGGTACTTTGAGTTTCGCTTAATTGAAACGAGCGATGGGAAACGGGATTTGTAGAGAATTATTATTCTGGTAATTGAGCTAATTACACAAAATGGTTTTATAATAAGCTCTCATTTTCGTACGAGCTAATGATCGATCACGTCCTCGTATCCCAGATTTGAATCGTGATTAGCGAATTGTTATCGTTCCGTGTCGATCCCCTTGTAACGTGTACAAAGGATATTAACAGCGACGCGATCGTCTATCCGCGACGAGCTAATTGCGCGCGACACGCGAAATGTTTACCGACAAAATATATACACTGAGCGAGCAGAGGATGAAATCTCGCGGATACCGTTGCTTAATGAAACGGTACACTGGACTTTTCACTCCGATACCGAAACTTCTGATTACGAACGGTGTTAATGAGAGACAACACTCCGACGTCAGCTTCGCTTATGCGTTACAAACTTTAGTTTATACGAAATGAAATCTGTTCGTATCTCTTCGATCCTTGCGACAAATATTTTCTCTGCAGTTATGAAACGTGTAAACTAACGAGAAATTTCTGTTCTTCTTTTAAGAAATTTCAATCGTAGCCTTAATTTCACTGACTTTTCGCAACATTGTTGGCACGCCGGTTTATCGGCAAACCGAGAAACTAACAAAGAGTAACCGAGAAAAGTGACTTTGGCTAACGAAGGAAAGGGCAAACATTTTATTTCGCAACTTTCTAACTTGCCAGGTTAAACGAAAGAGACTGAATTTTCCTTCGACTTCTTCTTTCGACCAGTTTTCCTACTTCTTATTCCTTTTTCTCGAAAATTTCATTACCGCGATCTTACAATACCCAGTTTCCTTATTTTCCACGCAATTTCGCGGAGATCACGGATAGGAGACAAGAGAGAAATTTTGATACCATTAACAACGCGCCACGCCGGAGGAGGAACAGTTGAAAAGTTAAAAATCCCGTGTCCTCGGTGTCTCTCCGGATTTTAATTCCATTTTATCCGTCACGGATTCACCGGAGCGATACTCATCGTTCTCTTTGTTTCAATTAAATCCTTCTTTCGTTCTGCTGCTCTTATTGGCCTCGTTCATAATCGTAATAGCGGTACGAATGAAATGCGCCGCGAGATGAATAATACTCGACGATGTAGGCTTGGAAATCGGTCCCCGAGAAACGTTTAATTCGTACAAAGCTGCCCCTACAGAGAAAAGGAGGGATCCTTTTTAAAACTTCCAACCGTCCTCGACTATCCCACCCCCCGCCCCTCGGCCTCGTCGATCTCCCAAAGGCCACGCCTTTCGGCTCTTACGTTGATATGATAATAACTTTTCTACGCTCTTGGGAACAGAGATCGGCCGAAAGCCGGCTCCGCGTAATGCTTTTTTCGAAAACTTTTTGAAGAATGTTCCCTTGACTCGAGTCTCACCACTCCGTCCCCTAGATTATGGACGACGCAGGGCAGCAACGCTATGGATCCGGATTGGGCCGAGATCATCGTGGAATTTTCAGTCCCGAAGCTCATCGGCAACGTGGGTGGCAGATCGATGTCTAACGATTTCCCGGTGATGCCTGTTTCAAGGGAGTTCTCGTTAACCGCCACTATTTCCGCCGTAACCGCCGTGGGATACTCTGAAAAAAAAGAAGGATAGGCATTAAATCAGAGTGGGAGTTGTTAGAAGATCGAACAGGGTTTAAGCGGTTGCTTGGCGCAAAGCTCGAGTCGCCAGAGGATCCTCGTTAAGAGGCTTTCCTCTGGACTTTACTTAACCCCTTTCCACTACCATGTTCGAAACTCACCCTCCCTTCTGCCGATATTTATGCGCGTCTCGTTCGAACCCTTTAAAGCCAAATACATACGCGGACGAAATGTATTGGAAGTGTATCGATACGGTTCTTTTATAGAAATCATGTATTTTTTTCATTTTTCAGGATCGCAGGAGCAGAACTATAATTAAAAGATCAAATATTTTATTTTGTTTTTATTTTTTATCTAAAGAATTTTAATTTCTTAATAAAGACTCAATTGATCCTTCTATGGCTGATCAATTATTTACCTTTCCACTTGCTACCTTGGTTAATCAATAAAATTAATGCTACTTTAAATTTCCTTTCAATTATTCAGTGTGATAGTCACCCATTTATACTACAAATCGTGGTAATGATTATAATTTACTTTCGAATGAATAATTAGTCCCATAATGAGCATGGTAACGTAACAAACTCAAATAAATTGACTAATAGCTACAGAGACTGATTGGCTCTGATTTAGAAATTATGCCCGAATACATGATAACACCCAGAGACAGTAAATGCACTATGTGTATATTGTTTCGATACAAAGCTTCCCAACTGTTCGAAACTATTCGCTAATATTGAAGTCATCGTGTGCCGAGCTGAAGATCGTCAATACGTCGTTGCAGAAAAGCGCGCCGTTATTTTGAAGTTTGTTATTCGATTATTCATTGCCTAGTTGGAATCTGGACGTTGGATCATCGGTGTTGCTACCATCGATTCATCTTTGTACGTGCTTCTTATTACCGCGCGTCGGATCGAACCATGAATCAAAAACAAATGTTGATAAACGAGCCCGATAAGTGCGAAAGAATCTCAAAGTAGGATCCATCGAAGGAGAATGTAGAAAATGGACAAGATGGATGCCTTAATCGTTCCAGCGGAAAGAGCACCGTTCGAGAGACACGTCGAAACTTGATTTCTCGCTCTTTTTTTTTTCCTCGAGGAACACGAATCATTTCGATGATAATTTAAAGTTCCGCGAGGAGAACCTCGGCTGTGTTGCTCGAGCGAAAGTTTCGGAAACTTCATCTTCCGGAAAAAGGAGGAAGCTGCTGTAGAGGACGGGGTGTTTTCCTGTTCGCCTTGGAAATTCGTTCGCGATTTTCGTAGAGGTGTATTAACAAGAAAGATTAAAATACAAGATCGGGAAGGAAAGTTTCGCGTGTATATTAATTGCATCGGTCTCGAAGTAAAGCCCCTCCGCTCATGAAGTTTTCACGCATTTTCTAACGCGTTTTCACCGCAGACCCGGTAAATTGAATTAAAAACTGCAATTTTAATAAAACGACGCGAATAATCATCCGGCTGGTTATATTTAAATAAACCTGCTCCTCTAGCTGAATTGCCGGTACATGGGTAAAATTGTAAGGGAAAGGTTAAAAAGCTTGTCTCGGTGCGGCTTGAATAGTTAATCGCGTCCTTCTGAACAGGGAAAACTCCGATTTTTGCATAAAAATTCACGAGGTATAAAAGCGACCAAGCGTACAGAAACTCGTAACAAAGTGTTTAACGAACATACGGTGCAAAGAAAAGTTGATGTTTCTTCGTTTATTTTTCACCGCAAAGAAACGATGCATTATTCGATAGAACGTGAAATTTACGATCGCACAATTTTCCGATCCCGACACGAGCAACTTTCGTACCCCAGTCGTCGTTAGGTATACGCACATATACATACGAAGGAACGTCGAGTAACCGGTGAAAAACAAATAGAGAAAGTTTCGCGGGCTATCCGGGAAAGTTTCATTATTTTCGAACAAGACTGTGCCAAGAATTTCTATTAAAATAATAAGAACTTAAACGAGCCCTGCTTGTTATGAAACACGTTCGCGGCGGAAAGCAATGAGAGTAATCCGCGTGGCTAAGAATTCCACGGCATATCGAAGCAAAATTGTTGTTTCCGCGTCAATGTTTCCTTTGGATATTTCTTTCATTCGAGTAACAGCTCTTTTCCCCGCTTAGACAATGAAAAATGCTGGCCTGGTTATTTCTCATTCTTTGTCACGCCGTGTAAATTAGTGACGATCATTATTTGAAAAGTTTACGAGCACTTTGAAATGCATCACGACCGGTTAGTTTTAATTGTTTCGTGAAAATATGTTTATCAAACGGGACTCGGCCCGGATTCCAGGCGAAGGAAAGAAGAAAGGAAAAAATCATAATCCCGTGACTGGAATAATCGGCTGTAAGGTGTCGTTATTACTGAAAAGTTAGAAAATGAGATACTTCTGGGTCTTAAGGAACAGCAATATTCGTAAATTCTTCGCGCGCTAAGCGTCTTTCGGGGCAATTTAACTAGCAAGTTTGCCTCGATGCACCGCTAAACTGGAAATAAAACACCGTGATGTCGAGCTCGTTTGTTTCCCCGTAACTTCGTCCGCGCCACTTTGTTGCTGAGTTTCTTGGAGAATTTATTTCCGATTCGTGGGGTAGAAACGGTCTACGCGAATATAAACTCGGCCAGGCTCTGTTCGTTGTTCGCGAAATCGAAAGCTGACGCGATGAAACGCGTTCTGTCTCGAAAAGCGTAACAGAACCTCACGATTCGGTGAAATTTTTCTTTGAAAACGGTTCGAATTTCCAGCACGTTTCACGCGTCAACTGTCGCACAGAGGGAAAATTGCAATGACCACTACGGTATACGTACGATAATAATTATTTTCAACGTTAAGCTTTCACTCGCAACCCGTCGTTGCTCGTTATAATAACGTACCAACCTATATATTTCGGACAAGAACATTGAAAAATGAGAAAATACGATGCTAAAATTAAATGCTGCCTCGAAATACTGTCCTTTTCATTAGAATCTTCAAAGCTTCGCAAATAAAAAATTCGTTAATTACCTGATTTCCATTCGATTTTAAGCTTCGAATTGATATACCACGAGCGGAATATCGTGCCATTTTTCTGCCATGAAATCTTGGAAAACTTATTTTCCTGAAAATCGTCGAGGTTCACGGTAGTTGGTAAAGGTTAACAATTCGAAACTGCAAACGTAAGTTGCACGTTCGGGAAGCCAGAAAATTTATTGAACGGGTTCCATTCCGCCTCTATTTCGCTCGCTTCGAACGCCTTCTCGTAAACTATTTTTCCAGGACAAATAAAACGATCGTTCCCGCCAAGCGGGCTCGCAGATGGTCATAGATATAGAATATGAAGAGAGTACGGATTCGTCCCTGCTCATCCGAGTATATTTAGCGGATAGACCGATGAAGCACGCGCCGCATGGACCACGGATTTACCACCCTACTCGTACACATTTTCCTTTTTCCACTCTGGCACCGGTGCAACGTTGAAAGCAGCTTTTTAGCCGCGTTCTTTCACAGGTCTAAGCAGACTTTTTGTCGGTCCACGGTGCAATAAACTTCCTAGGGCGCGTAAACGAGCCTAACACAACAAAAGACCGACCGTGGAAATGGATAAGACACGGGCATTATGAACGACGACTTTACGTTTATTGAATTCGAGGCGGTTGTTTTGTTAGTCTTGTTTTCTATGTAAATTCCAAGCCACGGAAGTTACGTTCGCACGGGGTTAAGCGTACGTCTGAAATTTGCATGAGTAATAGATCCACCTCTCTCTCTATGGCTGGTAAATTGAACAAGTAACCCTGCTGGTATCGCTTCACGCAGAAATAGATTAAATTAAGTTACTGCATTCACTGCGCGCTGTAAATCGTGGCAAAACTGGCGTTAGTGATTTCTCGCGAACTGAATTCCGATTGTTATTCGATTTAATCGAATTACGAGGGCCGAGGAAATATCGGTTAAATTCGTGGAAATTAATCATTGCCGGATTGAACCTGGTTGTTCTTACGCTCCGTTCGAGTAATTGCACGGATATTCTAATCCTTCGATCGGGACAGTGACGATTCAAATTCAATTTCATTTTCTCGATTTTACGCTAATTCTATGGGCTTCGAAATCAGCTCATTAACCGACAAGCAATTAAGAATAGAAAAACTGAGACTAACGTTGAATAATCGAAACTGAAAACTTTAACGTTATCTTCGGCAAACTGCCGTTTTAACGTGTCTGACTATACCCGTCCAACTTTACTGCAGCAATTAACGTGTCAAGAGAAAAGAACGATAAGCGATCACGACCTAGAAGCGTCGAGAAAAATGATTAAAGACACGGAATCGTAATAGTTTCTTCGAGATAAACGAACGATCATGATGCCTGTAACAACAAATTAGGTCGTCGTTTTGAAAAATTCACGCGTTAAAACCGTGGAAGGAAAAACAGGAAACTTATGCGCTGGGAAATTTCATAGTGTAATGAAGCAAGATGCTGTTGGTGCTTTGTTACGGTGCTTAAATGTTATATCACACTCGTACGGTACACTTTGTTACAAAGTATACGCCGGTAATCTACGCTGGAAATATTTATCCCGTGCATATGTTCGCGTAACAGCGACCATAATTTTAAACTATACGCCTGTGAAACGGTACGCTGTTTCAACGAGGCGTGATGGATCCTTCGATATCCTCGAAATAAAATCGAGGAACCGGTGAAGTTGAAGAAAAAAGAAATTTTTTTGGAGTGTGTATTGAGCGTACAAGAGGAAAGTGTAACGAGTTCGAGTGGAAAGAACGAGCGCTCGTATCCGCAAGGTCTTTGCGGATATTCATAATGCTCTGGTTAAAGTGCGGCTCTTGAAATTATGGAATTTCACGTTCAATTTTCGCTCACCGACACGGTAATTCCATAGCAATAACGGTCTCGCGTCAAGAGTCTGTTACTAATCGACATCGAGCCAGCTATTTTGACGTTCATTGCAAATATTATAATCGTCTCGTGTAATTTACGTGGCTCGTTTAACCCTCTAATGCATTTGACCGCGTTCCAGCTGTGATGGTAGCTAGTAACGCGGTACCGTGATGTAATTGAATCGGCAAGAGACAAAAATTAAAAAATAATTTAAGTAATGTAATTGAAGATGTTAATATTACAAATTTTAAAGGCAGAGTATTATTTTCACTGGGCTGTTCAAGGCGTTGAAGTTAATTTCTAAAGCACAGACAAATTTTAGATATTTTAACCGACTTTGAAAAAGGCGGAGGTTACTCGATTCGATCAATCTATATTTTTTTTCCCCCTTAAGGTTTCTTTTTAGAGTGCGAACCGTTAGACTCGTTAAAAGTTGAAATTTCGTGTGAAGTGGATGAAAAATTCATGCGTTATAGGGTTAATTGCACGTCACCGTATAATTTACGCTCTGTCAACGTTTCTTTCAGTCGACGACGATCGATCATGTCGAAAAATACGACAGAAAGTACGTGCGACGATGGGTGTCGAAAGTCGGGGAAAAAGGAACATTGCTGATAATGGAACGGTAGAAAAGAGGTGTGAGCACGAATTAAAGACTTGAAAGGTTGAGAACTACTTAAAACAAGTAACAGAAGCGAAACTTAGCAAACCGCGGTAGCACGTTAAATGGGTACATTAAGAACTTTATAGTTAATTCAGACGGTTTCAGAGCTGCCATTGCTTCCGGTAAATTTCACCGTATCCTTGTAGTAGCTTCATAAATGATCAACAAAGTGCATATCGCGTGCACGTGGATACACATAGACGTTTCCAGCAACTTTTACGAAGACTTGCCACATATATTATTAATTAGTTGGAAAACTTACGTGTTGGTGTATTGTACTCCATGGGAAGTCAATTAATTAAATATATTTCTCTACGAAGTTGCCAGAAATATTCCCAGTTATTATCCCGGTAATATGCTACCAATTGGGGAATTAATATTCATTCGGAAATGAATAATGGTAAGTTCAATCTGACGGAAGGTCTTTCGGCATGAGTAACCTTTACTCCGTCCATTAACGACGACGAGTATGAAGGGAATCGTGCTAGAATTACAGACTGCTTTTAAAGCAGTCTTATTATATTACACCATTCGAAATTATTATAGCAGGACATTTCATAAGTAACGTCATTTTCACAAGTAACTTTAATTAATCCATAAACGAGGGGCCACCAAGATGGTAACAATTTAAATTAAAAAATTTTAATTCTTCCAGATGAAAAAATTTGAATTTCTAATTTTAATCAAAGTATCAAATTCCAAGTTTAATGTTCAAGAACGGGAAGTACGAATCGCGGCACATATTTTATTCAAAATTCACCTGTATATCCGTCTTGAAACATCCTGTATCGATTGAACGTTCAACGCGCCTCTGGCAACAGAGACGAAGATTCACTCCTGGAGAACTCAGCCAGAATTAGTTAAAAGGAAAGTATATATTCGTTTCGCGAAAATCCCTCGACGGATGACGACGCGTTAAAGTCTTTATGGCTGATTGAAATTGAAGCGACGATATTATTGCGTGAAGTAGAACCGAAACCGCGTTATACGAGAGGATCTTACGAAAAGCTATTGTGGCTGTTTCGAGGAAGATTCGATCCTTAACGATTTAGCGGTTGTGTGGAGTCCCTGTATATACGAGGACGGGTCTGACAAAGCGTCGATTACGCGAGGAAATGGATTCGCCGTGGGCGAAACGACGAAACATCACGTTGAGCGAAACCAAAACATTAGTGTTCGGTCTCATGTCGACCCAACCAAACGCACTGGGAACACCGTGAACAGGGTTTATCCATTGGTATTCCGAAGGGTTTAACAAAGGTTTTTGTATTAACCTATGGAATAAGTTTATAAAAATTCATTTCAGAAGAGACCGTAGAAAAATTCTATTAGGTTGAAAATTCAAAATCCCTGTGATTTCATGACAGAAAATTATTGTAAAATGGCACTTGTGATACATCAAATTAAAGCTTAAAAATTACTCTAACTCTTGATATTTCTAATATTATCAAAGTTATTAATTAAGAAAGAAGATTATTTCAAATTCGCAAAGTGAAAATTCAAATTCAATACCATGACAGTAGCATGTTAATTTAAAGCTTGAAATATAACGAAAATGATTACATAAATGGGTCATTAATATTTTTGATATAATTAAATGCTCAAACTATGAGTGTCTATAAAAATTTGTTCTTAACCATGAAAAATACTCACCAGTTCGCACCATCACGTTAAGGAAGATGGATAAGAGAAGGGTGGTAGCCCTGTATCCGTGTATTATGATCATCAGCCACCTCGATACGTTGAATCCCGCGTCGTGCCACAGACCCGTGGTCCCGTGTACCATATTTTTCTGCCTGGCGGTTGCTCGCCCAGCTTGCCGCCAATTGCCACCTCGTCGTCGCCTGGCCTCATTCACCGGCGTTCTCGGATTTAACGTAACCCGACGAGCACCGTTAGAACCCGGGCTTCGGGTTCAATCCACAGATTGAAAGCTTTCCCGAAGAGAGAGCTGCCACTTGTCGATGACGCGGCAAGAAACTCGATCCATCCGACACGAGCTACCGATGCTCGATATTTCCGAAAGACAAGGAACCTCTCATCGCATTCCCATTCGTCTGGCGCGATTGTTTCTGTCGCTCGCTTCTCGCCGATTGATTAACGCCGCCGGGGCGAAAGAGAAAACTTTCCACAGTTCCGTTGGGAAACGAACTGAATCCAGTATCAACTCTGTATCAGGCGTTAAACAGATCAATCCAGCCGTTAGATTATTGGCCGAGTTTACGTCATTGCTCGCATCCGGGTCGAATCGTTTGGCCACGAAATACGTCCTATCGTTAACGACTGGTATACAGTTATAGAGGGTCGTTGCCTGTTCGTCGTGAAACGAGGCTGGCTCGCGAACGACCACGATGAAACCTAGTTTCCCCGATCCTTTATCGAGATCCCGAAAGGTGAACGGGAGTGCATCGTAGGATGGCTTTGGTTCTGGCAAGTTGCTTCGTTCGAGACGTCGAAGCCTCTATTGTTCGACCTAGTCTATAGATTATACCCCTGGAAACGTAACAGGCAACGGGTCGAGTTGCTGCTTTTCCTGCGGATGCGTACACGGGAACAAACCCAGGAAGATACACGTGTCGAAACGCGTCGCGTAATAGGTTTGCTGTTCAAGGGGGATATTGTTGAAGTTTGCAAGACGAGTCGGTCGACGATATCCTTTGGCGGTGAAGTTAATAGCACGCCTCACGGGAAGGCAGTTTCTTGCCCGCCGACGCGCCGTCTCATTCAGCCTCGTTTCACGGATGTTCCTGGCGGTACGTTAGTCGAGTTCTGTACGTTATCAGAAATACAGGATGCTGTAGGCCATGGAAGCCAACGTCCCGGTTCTTTCCGTCGAGTGGCTTTCAACGTAGCCGTCGCTACTGTTCCGCACAGTCAAACCACGCTTCTACAGAAATCTCCGTTGCTTTCTCTCTTCCTTTTTTTAGCCGACAGCGAGCAGAGATACCGGCCGGGTAACATCCACCGTTCCGTTCCTTTACACGAGCACCGCAGCTTCTTCCTGCTTTCCTCCCGTTTGATATTCGCGCAATCGTGCGGAAAGTTTGCGCTTTCTTTGCCGAGCTTAAAGCTCGCCGACTTAATATATAACATTAATGTCACCGTTCGAATTCCTGCGCTTTCGTGGACGGTCGGTTTTAAACAAAAACGTCGCTCAAGCTGTCCGTATCAACGCGGATAACGAATCCTGCTTTCAAGTCTCGTAAGAACGACCGTCGTCAGTCGAATCGCATTGTCCTCCGCCGGTTGGTTTTTAATTGGAAAAAAAATGTCACCGCGTGATAGAGAAGGGTCCACGCGAGCTTGCAGAACTTCTATGGACAGGCTATGTAAAAACGTCACGGGATATTACGATGCCGATTCAAGGCTGGCGAAACACGAGGACCGTTTAAACGACACGACTAATATTCTGCCTTAAACGGGACACCCTCGTCTCGCCTACTTTCTCCGGCTGCTCGTTTGCCAACCGTCTCAACTGTTTCAAACCCGTCGTCGTCGACGTCGACGTCGACGCGGTCGTCGAGCGTTAAACGGAAGACAGCACCGTTTCTCGTCGAGCCTCTTTTCAGCGGTGCATTTTTCTCACTCGGCTGCACCTCGAGGACGCAGCTTCGCCTCCCGTATAACTGTTACGAACGCGATGCGGCAGCACTCGGGACGCGTTGCGTCTCGGCAAACACGAAGATTTGCCAAAGAATTTCGCGGCTACACGGGTTTGTGGATATTGCGCAAGTTTGTGGAATGCTGGTTTGCGGTAACCTCGGCCAACAAGCTCGACAACTGTGTCTTTAGGCGAGCGAGCTAAAGCTTGCTGCCTTCAGCTCGGCCAACCCTATCCGCTTCAACTTCCTTCCTGGATCGTCCAGCTGCGCGCACGTGTACATAGATAACGCGTAACCACGTCCTTGTATATCGGTGTGTCCTCCTGGAAGATCGTCGGGATGGTTAACCAGCTCCTTTGAGGAATTTGAGCTGTCCCGTGCCGTTAGTATCCCCGGTTACAAGGGATGAACCGAACGTTGGCTCTCGGTTTCGGGATTATGGATGATTCGGTTCCTTTAAGGGCTGCCTCGTTCCCGCTTCTCCTGAAATTCGAGCAAAGTGGATATACAGTTTGCCGAGTGATCTCGTATAACCGCGCACGATACAATCGACCGTCGTAAAATTTTCAAGGTAAGCTCCTTTTTGTTTAAATCCGCTCGGAATCGTTCCGAAGTCGTTCGACGAAGTGATGAAACGGACCGGTCGAATTAGATCCGTAATGTCGAGGGCGTTCCCTTATCTCTACCGACGGTTATTCGTTTTAACGGAACTACCCTGGCAAAGGCCTCATTCAGACTCTCTTACACTCGTGTAGCCTCGTTCGAAACAGCGTTTCAGATCGTTACGTTAATTGAAAATGCTGAAAGTTCTGAGAATTGATGCGAAATTCATACTGTTATTGGTCGCGCCAGTGGGTTAATTAACCGCTGGTATTAATAAATAAGTGATTAAAAATAATCAATTAATTTGTGGCGAAAGGGAACGAAATCGTACTACCACAGTGAAAATACACGTATATGGTCAGACACGTTCACTGAATTTCTGTTAAATGGAACATCGATGGTTCGAAAGTATCCATGGATTATTAACAGAAGGATTAAGGGAATCTGTTGCTGGAAACGCGATTGTAGACACCGATCCTTCGAGAATTATAAAGTTTCGGAGATCCAGGACGGTGAAACGATCGGTGCCGGGTAAAAAATCCACGTTGATCCGCTTGTATCGTCCTTTCGTTTCCAGCAGAGGAACGTGGCGTCAGCCCGTGGGAATTGGCAACGAGATACGAGAAACGCTTTCGACGATTCATCACAAGACTCTTAGGTACGAGTGGATAGAACGGTGAAATTTCAACTCGAACGTGCCCGTCGTAATGGAAGGCGACAGGGAAGGCATTTATTAAAAGATCATCACTTATTAGAGGATCCTTGGGGGAAACGAACGAATGGTAGGTACGGTAAGAGCAACGGCAACAGCAGAAACACCGACAACAACCGACCTCTTCGCGATACGTTTGTGAAAAGCGACTTTTCCTCGTCCACGAGAGCCCTTCTGCCAAGCTTTACCACACGGAGCGTTAAGCCCCCGGAAGACGGCGCGAAATTTAACGAGCGACTAAGGTCGCGGCCAAGCCGGAGCAATAAAAAAGATGAGGAAAAACGAGAGCGAGGCAAACGGGGATATAAACGATGGGATGCGAGCGAGGTTGCAAGAGCAACAGCGACGACAGCAAAGCCGGTAGAACGGTAAGTCTGAAATGTGTGCGGGACACGTGGAAAGCGGCAAGTGACTGCTGTGAAATTGTTGATAAATGTTTCGACGTATCGTGATAAATCTTATCGTTCGCGCGATACAAACACCGGAGAACGCTGCAAAGTCGAGGGACCAAAAACACTTTCGAGGAAGAGAAAAACTCTCGTTACGTACACGATGGAACAAAGTTGCGACACTCTAATTATGTTGCAAAATAAATCTTCTTCTACACTATATAAAATAATAATTATTAGGTACTTTTACAGCGTTAACTCGGAAATATAATTATACTATCAAAATGCAAAGCTCGCCTTTTGTAATTGTAAACTTACAAAGTTAGAAGCAACCGAAATATTTATGCAAATGTACGAACATAGATTAAATACATTCTCGGTTTGTTCAGAAAGTTTCGTTCGAGTTGCTGGTTTTCTTGGTTGAAGATTTCGGTTTTCGCCATAATAGAACGGATCCACGGCGTGGCGCGGGGGGGGTGGCATACAAGCGTTTCCTGAATCTTTCACCTGGCCGTTTAAAAGTTCCAGGCTAAGTGAAAAGGTTCGGTGCTTTTAAACTTCCATCTTGGAATACCCCGTGAAACGCAACGATGGATGGAATAATAAGCTTGCCAGAAAATATGAACCGATTCTTAATAAATCCCGCCCCGAGCTACTGACAGTGAATAACTACGATGTAACTCAATTTCCCTAAAGAATTAGGCGATCAATTTTCTTTTTCTTTCCCCATTCAACCGTGATCATGAAATTTTATTATTTTATTTTATGTAGTCTACGATGAAGTACCAAACGTAAGTGGCACCAGGGAACATTATTAATGATCATTATCGTTCGAGTTCAACGATGAAATACCGCAATCAGATTTAACAAAACGCACAAACGCCTTTGAACTCGGTCAAATTATATCTCGTAAATAATTCCACCCGAAACAATCGAGAAACTATTAATTGAAGCCCAAACACGAGTTACGAGATTGCGAGTGAAGCCGCAAGACGTTACGTATGAACGGGAAATATGGTGGATTACGGGTTTAGGATCGAGAGCGGAGGATGAAGTGCGGTCGACTTTATGAATACTAATTGGTATCCAGGAGGACATTTATCGGTAGAATTTTATCGGGTTTGTCGAACGCGGACCCCTCGACGTTGTTCATTGAAAAGGAACATCTCCCGGGTAGATCTATCACGGGGGGAAGTATGCCGGAAAAGCTTAATACGAGGAAACAGGAGAGGCTTTGGTATTATGTAGAGAAGGCATCGAAGAAAGTCGAACGTTGAATAATGTAGATCCATCCTTCCCCCCCTAACGTTTTCGCATAAACACGTATCGTTGGTACGTGAACGGGATGGAACGGTTTGGCCTGGATTTGGCATCCGTACTTGGTAATTAAGTTCGCCTCGCTATGTACAAGCTCCCTGCTCTATCTACCCTCTCTGTTGCACGTATTCTAGCTGCGTTTCTCGTGGAACACGAAATTGCACCATTGCCGTGGCGATTAAAGTGCCGATAATCCTGAGCATCGATTTAACCTATGGCTCGGTATCAATTATCGGGTCAATCGTCGTCGAACGCCACGTCCTATTTGGCCACTTGACTGACCCGAAGACATTTAAAATGAAAATCGTTGCCCCTTTATCCCCGTCGGGACGTCGCAGCCGCTATATCGTGGCGTCGAGACGCTTCCACGATTTTTCCCTTCTCCCTACGACTTTTGTGCTTATTTACACATACGAGTGTTTATGTAATTTCGGAACGAAATTTGTTGTATTTTGTACCAACAACCGAACGAAACTTTCTGTCGGATGGTTCGTCCAGGGATCGTTCCAGAATCAAACGAAAATACGAACGAAATAGGATGAGGAATAGGAGGAGGAAGAGGAGGGGGAGGAAACGGTCTGGATTCTCGCGCGAGTTAATAACACGCTCGAACGAGGAGAAAAGTTGTGCAACGCTATTCCACGAAACGCTTTGTTTCTCGTGGCTGTCTGAGCCGCGAAGCTTTGAAAAAACATTTCTAAAGATCTTACACCGTGAAGAATATCATACGATGATGTTAAGTGCGAAGAAGCGAATTGTCCGTCGCGGCGGAATAAAAAGAAATACCTTTCCCGTGACGAGAGGAAGGGGCGAGGGGATAAAAAGGGGAAGAAGAAGGAAACATAAATGTAGCAACGCCGAGGCGCCAGCCACCGATCGAGATTTTTGCGAGAAACCGTTTCGGGAGGGCGAAACATTTTACGCTTGATATTCCTTGAAAGGTAAAAGTACTGTAAAATGAAAAATGACGTTTTATTAAAACGACTGAAGCGAGAATTTTCTTTCGGTAAATCGCTCGATAATTTCTCCCTATTCATGTTTTATGAATAAAATTTATATTCGTAACACGAAACCCGTGAGAAAACGTATTTATAATATTAGTTTAATATCAAATGGCAAATTTTGAAAAGTTGCAAGCGGAAAATGACACTTGTGAAGTATCAATTTAAAGCTTAAAAATTACTGAAAATGAGTACACAAACGTTTTATCGATATTCTTAATACGATGCAATCAATTTGCAGCTTAACATTCATCATTAGCGAATATTCCATTTTTAATTATTTATGTTTCAAAATGAAACTAATTAAGAATCACACATTTTGTAGAAATATCGATAAAACTTTAAGCTTCTACATTTCAAAATTGACTACTTAAAATACACCAATCCAATTTATTATTACACGTTCATTGTAATTAATTTGCGCGAGAATATTAATGTAAATTGTTAATATATTTTCAATTGTCTACGAGGAAGAGGATTAAATTTATTTGAAACGCAATAAAATTCGTTAATGGATTTATTCGCGTATCTGCAGTATTATCGCGATACGTACGATTACCATTATTTTCCGTTAAATCGCACTCGTTTTGAAATGATCGTGAAAATACAGAGCAATATCCTGTTTGTTACCGTGCTTTGATCGAAAGATATCGAGTCGCAGTTTCCGGTACGAGGATGGCAATTCTCTCTTTCAGTCGAAACCCGTGAAATTAGCCAGAATTTCAACCGCTCCGAAATTACTGGCTCAGAATTGCGAGGTGATCCGAGAGATTCGCACGAACCGGATCTCAGATTACCAAACGTACGAAGCGATCTCGTGGAAATATATTTTCTACGAGTCGTTCATCACTATTGACACTGTTATTGATCATAGCAGAAAAGCGTGGAACCGAAGAAAGCAATCAACGGGGACATTCGATCTGTCTCACTGACAAAGCATACACCAGTCGACGTCAACTATCAACGTTAACACCGATGAATTCCTTCGTGAATGAACCTTTCCGGTGTTCACCATCAGAAGTCAAAACGTTTCGCAGAAAAAAAAAAAAATGATACTCTTATGACTGACCCTTTCCACTCTATTCGTAAAAAGTGTCATATAACCGATGGTACACGTTGAAATATGGGTGATTCCAGAAGAGATAGTAAATCGTGAACGGAGAATATATATTTTTTTCCTACGAACATTCTTTTTGTCCAATTCACTATGTTTTCACTTAATCAGAAACACGATTTGTCTTATTTTCAATCGCTTTCAAAAAGCGAAAGTTTTATTTTCTGTTGTAAAATTCATTGAAAGGCTATACCTACCTAGGTGATTCGAAGGTAAAAAAAATCACACGAAAGTTTTTTCATTTCGAGTGGAACATTCTCAGAAAGTTCTAATAATTTTTTTCATATAAAAATAATGAAAAATGGAAGAGGTACTAATCGATGTTCGCGAAACTTTCTTTTTCGGAGTCCTTTCGCGGTGACCACCCCCTTGCTCGAAGTTGAATTATTGAAGATTAGAAATTCAGGGATTTTTACATAATATGATAGATTACCTAGTTTCCACTAAAGTCGATTTTTGAAACTTCAATCTGTAATTTTAAAAAATCTAGTCGAAGTAAAGATCCGATTTTTATCTCCAAAATAAGTCTGCAAAGTTTAAATTGATGCAGAGTGGTTTTCAAGAAAATCTTAGTCAATTTATTCTGAATAATCAAAATTTTCGATTTCAAGGAAACGTTGAAAATCGAAAATCGAAAATATTGAAGTTTCTAGAACAGACTTCTGCGGTTAACCGGAAAGGTAGTCAAGAGAACCTGTTCCAAATGGATTTTTCAAAATAAACTTTCTTGAAGAAGTTTCGAGTGCAAAAAAATCTATCCCATACTTGCAACTTATTTCTTCCTGTAGAATCACCATTTTCCCTTGTACCACCAGTTGCACGGCACTTTAAATATTTCCAAACAGGTAATTACAAAATAATGATGTTAACTATACGTAAAAACACGAACGAATTAAGAAAGAGTAAGTCGCAGAAGAATTCTATCCATTGTTTTACGGGTAAACTAATTTCAACTCTGCCCGGTAAATCTCATTTCCTAACCCTTTCCACAGGTTTTGAATTAGCCGAAATTACGTTTGGCGCGTTCTATCGGTCGGCGATCTAGTTAACACGTTTGCAAACTAATTTTTGCAATAGAATTCGAATCGCAAACTTCCTTTCAACCCGCGTTACTTCGACAACCGCAAAAGACTCGTTTCACGCTGTAACGAGTCGCTTTGAGACGGAATAAACTTTCGTTGATTTGCGAAATTCACGTTGATTTAACTCTAATCCGGCCGTGAACATACTCTTACGCGCGATTTTATAGGTGCGAACAATTATTGGAAAACATACAGGCGAAACGAGTGGCGGGTAGCCAATTAAAGTAATCGTTTACGTGTCGGCCGATTCGATGCCGATCAAATTAATATGCCAAATGACGCTTCCGATAACAACCGACAATTTATCGGCCTGTAATCGCAGTAATTATCGCCTCGTTTAATTGCCTCGTTGAATGATAAGTCCTTCTTCAGCTGTCACCACGAAATAAGGCTGTTCTTTCACGGCGGCTGCGAGTGGCTAACGAAGGAATAAGAAAGTTCGAGGGAGTTTCCATTATCGTGCACGAAAAAACAGAATTAATGAGTCCCGCTTTTCAAATTTTTTTTTCGCCTTCTCTCCCTCCCTTCCTCTCTCGAGCCGACTTCTTCTCGCAGCTTTTGCACGAGAAGAAACACGTCACCGGTTTTTGAGTTGTTTCCACGTCCACGTTAGGAGGTCGACGTAACAGTTTTTTTCGCGCGATTACCGAGCTTTCAAAGCGTTCCAAACGCAGCGAAGCAAATTTCGACAATCAACGAGTTCGCGTTTGTTTAACAAAGTTGCGCGAGCGCGGCATTCTTCTCTTCTGTCGCTAACGAACTGAGGCTCCTCGTAACGTCGCGATTTGTCGGCGGAAAATTAACTGCTTCATTAACCCTTCGCTCGATTGCACGAGATAACGCCCTCGCCCCGTTGAAAATTTATCAGGGCCAAGTTGGAAATCTAGTTTCGTCGAGTTTCTCGGCTCAAAGAATTAAAGTGAACAGACACGGCCACTCCGAACGTACGGCATGTAACGTAGTTACCACGAGACATTAAACGAAATTTACGGAATTACGCTTGTTGTCACCAACGAGAGACAGACACATTTCTACCAGACGGGGTTAGGTAGACGGATATCGCAGTGGGTGCGGACAAAAAAGATCCGTCCGTCTCGTACGTCCGTTCTTTCGGCCCCCTTTACGCAAAAACTTCTGACACTCGAGTGGAATTTCAGTAGAGACGGACGTTGTTACACAGACAGTCGCTTGTACTTGCATGTCCAGAGGTACAAGCCGCAAAAGAAAAGGGGAAAAAGTAACCTGTGTATTGGATGAATACTCGATGAGTTCCTCGACCGTAATAAAAAAGAAAAAGCGTATCAGCCGCAAAGGGGGAAAAAGTTAAAGGAAAGAAAAATATAGTCAATGAATCATGAGGTGATTCAAGTGATACGTTCTTTCATGTTTTCCACGGTCTCCCTGTCCGTTCGATTCGAAACCAATTCTTTCCCTTTTCACCCACCCCTCCGACGATTACACTTTCGGTCGAGTTTGATTTTTCGTGATCACTGTACCGTGGACTTGAAAACGACGGGAAAAAATGAAGAGGACGTCGCAAACTTACGTGCTGTCGCGACATTTCGCTTAGTAGACTATAAGATCGCTGCGTTGGACAGCAGAGACAGACGCGATGATGTTGACATCCCGCCGAGAACTTGTCGTCGTGCTTTAACGACCATCGAAGTTACGTTGTCGCCGTCGTGCCGAACGTATCATTTTCCAGCTACTTGACGCCAAGCTTGCCCGTCGAAGTTCACGCCTCGAGTGCACCCCGACCGAGCGCCAGTTTAATGACGTTCGAAAGATCATTAAACCGGGCTGCACGCTAATTGACCTGAAGGGAAGAGAGAGAGAGAGACAGAGAGAGAGAGAGAGAGAACGAATAAACGCGCACGACGCGATGAAACGAGCTTGTACGAAACGAGGAGGATAGGAGCGCGCGATTACGAACGATGTAACGAAGAACGAACTGGAAACAAAACTTCACCGCGGCGCGATGTTACGCTTGATACCGTGAAGTGGAACCGATAGTGCGGTTTACCGCGCTACGTAACGCGAGCAACGCGTGAAAAAAATCGCGCTAAACGGGACGAGAGACGCGTAGAGATTCAACCTCGAGCTCGTCGTGGATTGCACTGGCCGGTTCAGCCCTTACCGAGTCGAAGGGGTGGCGGCGAAAGCGAACGAGGAGAAGGGATGACACGGGGAAGGAGAGAGGGGAATAGAGGAGGATGAGAGGGAGAGAGAGGATCCGAGTGGTTGATAGCGCGAGAGGGAAGAGATGAGGGCGATGGAAGATGAAAACGTGGAGTGAAAGAGAGTCAGAGAATCAAGAATATACAGGGTGTCATGTAACTTCCGGTGCAACCAGAGAAACAGAGATAAAATAAAAGTGTTAAATAAAATAAAAGTGTAGAACAATAGTATTGAAAAGTTATATTTTCCTCAATTTTTAGAGGAAAATTTTGCAAGAATTCAGAATTATAAAATACTGAAAATACTGAAATTTGCTCCGGAACGAAACTACGTACAGAAATTACTTTGGTGCACATTTTCGTTTCCTTGTTTCATAGAGAATTTCAATTGCTTCAGATTATAACAGCAGTTACACGACACCCTGTATACTTAACAGCATCCACGGCGCTGAAAACCACCGCGGTATATTTCGCGGCTCTCCCACGAGCGAGGAAGGGAGAAAAGACTGGGAGAGCCGGTGGCCTCTACGAAATTAAAACAAAAAGCTTGGGGAAACACATCGTGTCGGCTTGGAACGGACTGGTACACACGGACTGTCGCTACACGCTCTTCTTCTCGTTTGGCCCCTTGCATCGCCGCGAAAGCTCCGCTCCGCTTCTTGCCCGTCGCGCGCGCACAGGCTTCTTCCTTTTTCCGCTGCAGCTAGCCGTTTGTTAGTCCTTTTTATCATTTATTACGCGTCCGCGTAGACATTCGACGTTGGAAATTACGCGACGACGACGAATGTTTTCTCGTCGCGTAGGCGGTCCCAGCATCGACGTCTCGTTCGTAGCCGCGATGCTCGGAGAATGGAAAACTAGAGTGGAATTTGATTATAAGACAGAAAGCGGAATTGTTTCCCCGTGTTATTACAACACGTAGACCGCTCATGTTTTATCTCCGCTTCAATCTTAATTCGATCATTCTGCGGCGATAGTTCTTGCGCTCGCCGCCAGATGGATATTCGCAACAACTTTCTCGCAAGTACTCGCTCCAACTACCCATTCTTGCATTCCCCGAACTTGTCCCGCGTTTAGGGCTGAGTTTACATTGTTGTAGTAAATGGATTAGTTAATCAACGGCCTTAGCCGTGGGAGCATGTACAGTTTCTTGCTAGATCACCGAAGTAAAGCTACGTTGGGCACGGTTAGCTCTCCACGGATGGGTGATCATGTATCGTCCGCACGTAAAACGAACGGGGATATAAAGGATAAAAAAAGCGTTTAGAAAATGCATATCAGGTAACGTATTATATGAACGCGCATGGCGAGGGGTGAATCGCGATTTGTCCGTTTCCGACCTCAAAATTTATCCACTTTGACGTTCTTTTCTCTCCACCCGTGACGCGAAACCGTCATGGATCTAGATGGTAATAAGTCCTCGTAACGCTTCGAGCAAAGTCGACCACGGGCCAGAGAGAAAAGGATGGTTTCGTATTTGTACCCGTAGACGAGCCTCATCTTTTCCATCCGTTACGTTCAACCCTCTCGCGACATCGGCACTTCCATCGAGTTCGCGGTTAACCGTTCGAGTGCCACGTAGCACGATCCATGTCGAAAAGTGTCACCGCATCGCCAGACTAGGCCCGCTGATAGAGCTATGGCGGTTGAATCGTACGAGAGGAGGAAATAGCTCCGAGAAAGAGATGGAAGGATCGGCTGGAAATATGTATGTACGTGTAAGCTTGTATTGTGCGGAGCGATAAATCTGAACGTACAACAGAGGAAAATGAAACAAATAAATAACAAGCAGAAAATTAATAGCTTCGACACGGTAACTTCGATGTGATTAATATGTGTATGATACTAATCCCTAGTTACCTACTCCATGAGGAACGTTATTAAGCACTGCTCGGGCGCGAAACTACCTCGCACAAGGTTTGCTTGTTCGAGAAAATATGCGACGTGTAAAAATAGAAACTTCTCAAACGACAAAAAGTTTGCTTATAATTGCAGTACAATGGATGTACGCGTATATTGTTCGAGTAATTGTACGAATACCATAGTTGTTTCCTGGATAACGACTGTAGCTGGCTTCAGTAGGGGGAGGGAAAACGAGTTTAACATAAAAAATATTTTTTCCCTGCCCTCTTAGAAACGGTTCATACGTTCTTTGACGCGCGACCGCGTGATTTAATTAGAAACCCTTTCAGCTTTCATGTCGATGAAAAAGCAACTCTCCAAAAAGGGCAACGCGCCACGGCAACGGAGATGCCTATGCAATTACAGAGCGTGTTTGAATTTTCTCCAAATTACTAGGCCGTGTTTCGCATCTCGCGTACGAGCATCCGGCATCTCTCTCCTCTCTTACTCCCTTACTTTTCCCTTAGGCGCTCTCTCGTATCCCTTTCCATGCCGCCTTTGAAATAAAAGTCGATCGAGTGAGCGCGGGGGCAAGCAGGCATCCACTTCGTTCATCGGCCGTAGATTTATTGCCGACTTCGTTCTCTTTCACTGGTCCGTCGTGAATCGGGCCTTCTAACCAACGCTGTTAGGAATCGAGTAATGGAGAAAGAGGAAGAGAGAGAGAGAGAGCAAGAGATACCGGAGATAGAGGTTTAGACTGTGGACGAGAGAGAAGAAGGTAAGAGGACGAACACGCATCGCGTTCTAAAGCGTACACGAGCGTATATAGAGCAGTGGAAAAGGACACGGAGCCCCAACGAGTCGCGTCGCCGAAGGGAGGCTGTGATTAATGATAAGCCGCCACGATTCGAATTTCGTGGTAATAGGATAGCCCGGATATTTTAAGGATAACCCAGGAGACACGCTCCTGGATATCTCGTGCGACGCAGGCGCCTCCGCGCCGCCCCACCCAGTTGCAGGAATCCTCACCAACACTAACCAAAGGATCCACCAGTTACCCCCGAGGAACGTGAATCCGATGCTACTGTACGTGTGCAAGGATGCACGTGGTCATAAGGATGCCGGTTGAATTTTATTAACCCCTTGAACCGGTTATAACGAGATATGTAAATGATAAGACCATTATAATGCGTCACCTACTTATGCTTCGGATGAAAGTATGAAATATAGACTCTACGTCGAGTTTAAATTCCAAAGTGCAAGGTTTATTTCATCTGCTTACTTCTGTAAGACTGGATCTCCCATCGCCAAAAAGTCCATGATTTATAGCTGGCTCTTCATCAAGTGGTTCGCGTCGTTTGGGACATTCGAATCCTCTTACACTACTATAGGGTCATCAGGCAACTGTTCCTGTAACGTTGACTTACACAAAAATTAATATCTTTAATAATCGCTGTGTTATGTACGGTTGATTGCACCGAGTCAGGCACTACACGATACTATAACGTGTCGTGCTAGATACATATTATACTACTGTAACGGTCGAGAGTAGGGTTGCGAGTAGTGGCTTAAAGAATAGCGTGGATGGCAGTAGTATAAGTCAACGAGTATACTGGCATTCAATTTCAAGAGGCACGTAAGAGTCATGGAGAGCCTATTGTGAGATCACCTGCATACTCAGCAACTTCTTGTTACGTTACTTTATAATAACCAAATAAATATCAATATGATTCCGTAGAATCGATATAAGCAGCGATCGGAAGCAGCTGGTGTTCGCGCATTAATCATGGATCGGATCAACAAGGAAGTGAAAAAAAAACTTGAACGTTGGCAATATAGAAAGAGGGGAAAGCCGAGGATAGGGATGATATTTAAAAGCTTCGTCGCTTATACGAATTTTCTCCTTGAACAAGCACAATCGGGCTGCGTTTTAACGTCTTGTTCCCCTTCACGATTTTATGGCTATTGCTTTATCCCCTTGTTGAGTTAGTTGCCCCCTCCTTCTGACTTCCATTTTCTTCCGTCAAACGATCGCCCGTTGTCAACCGGGAAAACGGACGTAGCTCGATTAGCAAAAAGCAGCGGCTGTGGTGTGATCTCGTTAAATTCGGAGAGAAGCGGAACAGCCTGAAGATACTATGCAAACGAACTGTCCAAAGTGTAGGTGCGCACACGAAACGACACGCGGAAACGTGGCCTGGCGTTTGAACGTTTTAATTGTCGGACAGTTTCGAAAGTGGAATGCAAACGAACCGCTTAAAATACTTTCTACGATATAAGACACACTCTAATAATGGGTTTTTTCTTTTTCTTTTTTTAAACACACTGTTTTCCTTGTTTTAGCCTTAATTAAATTTGAGATAAATAAAGGTTTTCCAATTACAATGTGAAAAATAGGATATTTCATTAGGAACAAGGTTGACCCACGAAACAAAAGCTAATTTGAAATGTTGTTTTGAAAGATTTATAACATTCTTTTTGAATAATTGAAATGATTAAAGAGAAGTAACGTTCCGGTACAGGAATTCTGATAACCCGATCGTAATCTCCGATGCCTTAGGGCAGGTACGCACGCGGAAACTTGGCGAACTTATTACCGAGTGACCTAAAGCCGCAGTAGCTTAAGACAGATTTATCATTTCGGCGTGTGGCTTAATTAGAAATTCTAACAAGCTTCGGCAACAAATATGGCGCGTTTCAAAAGTTTCCCGAAAGTGAACCGCAAGAGGTTGCTTGCTTTCGTTTAAGAGATTCCATCTGTTATCCAGCTGTCCCTTATTTATTAATGTCGAGAAAACAATGGGTCGGTATATAGAGAAAATTTGCATGTAAATTTAAACAGCGCGACACGCGTATCGCGTTCTCTTTTCCTTCTTTCGTTCTTAATCGACACGAAAACTTGAACCGATTTACTTTTCCGAGATCTAATCGTGCGACGTTCTTTTAAAGATTACAAAATATTTCCTGTCACTTTTTATCCGGCATAAAAAGCGTGTCGGAGTAATAGCAAGCTGTCCAAAGCGCCGCTGTCGCGTCTCGAGGTATTCTTTTCGTTTTGCGGACGGATACGCACAACGCATTTATATTTATTACGTTCACGAGGATCTGGCCGAGAAAAAATAATGGTGGCACTTTAAAAAATCTTCGTGACACGTCCTCCGGGGCTGTGCATAATTCAAGAATTAAATGAAGTCCTGGAATTTCTTGGGTACTTCCATTTATTATTGGTTATTATTGCGGCGAGTAAAACAAATCAAATTTCTCGTCGATCGTATCAAAGAGCTTAACGAACGGAGGAAATCTTTTTGTTACGAATAAAATCAATACCGCATGGGGAGGAGAAAAACTATGTAATTAAAAGTTCTATTAACGAGCGTAAATCGTCGGATGATTAAATATGATTGTGCGATTAATTCATCGTATAAGAATGTCCTAATAAAAATTAACGTACGACGCCTTTCACTTAAGTTGATACAATCGATCGTTACGATCATGGGATATTTCGTTATCATTTCTATCAAAACTCAGTGCTTCTATTTTCGAACAAATACACGAGACATTCGAAGGATTTATCGAAGCTGGCTTGGTTGCCAGGTCTTTGGTTTCCCTGCTGTAACTACGCGGATCCCTTTTTTCCCTTCTGTAACCAACCGTCTAGCTTGCCTTGACGTAGATAAGGGTTTGAAATATTTTATCGTTACCTCTGATACACCAGCGTTGCAATTATTTTGCATAGGTCAAAGTTAAAAGTAACGTACCACCAAATGATCGGATACATGTAATTAACCCAATTCTTTGAAGATAATCAAGAGCTTCAGAGAATAAAAATGAAAATCGGTAATTACGGATTAAACTAGACTACTATAGAGAGGCGATATTTAATTACAATGGAAGTACTCAACAAATTTTGAGTTGAGAGAGAACGTGAACAAATTAATTAATTACAATACCTAAGTATATTTTATCTCTATTAGATAGAATTAGCTAATGTTTTGAAAATTATATCTTTCCCACCGAGGGTTCTTGAATTTATAAAGTTAGGGTATCCAAGAGGGTAGATCTACGGTGGTAAGACGAAATTTACCACCATACATATGGCACCATCTACTGTGTGGCGCTAAATTGGTATTTTGCTACGTTGATGTTTCAGAACGTGAGTTACCTAGTCTTATAAGGCGATGCAAGCGTCGAAACCGACTCCGACCTCCGCGTCGGTAAAAAAGCCCACGTTTCACCGCAAATTAGGCCAAACAGAAACAGATTTAAGCGCCACCTCACGCTCGTGTGAGACAATACTAACGCGATCAAAATTTAAGATTAAAACTTTTTAAATTTTGGTTAATTTTTTATGAAATTTTTAACAAACTGTTTGTGAGAATCTCCTGATTAAGATGATACCAAACACGACATAGTTTTTGGTACTACAGTGTCATATTCTACGGCATTATATAAGTACTTACATAATTAAACAATACTAACCATGCATTCATTATTATCAATTTTCTTCCCGTAAAATTGTATTTGCAATGTGGTACACTTCAGAATCTGAGAGGCACAATTCCTGAAAAAAATATAACAGAGATTAAATACAAAAAAAAGCATAAATTTCGCAGCCAATTCGCTCGTATTATTTGCTGCATAATTAATAATTGTACCATAGAAATAATGATACAGTTATTAATTAGTCAGCAAATTATAACGATTGCCCAGGTCTCACCACGGGGAGGTTGCTGCGGGTGGAGACCCGCCCTACCTCATCCCATCCACCCTCCATTTATGCAAATTTTTATTTTTATTCAATATATCATCCTCTTGATGTACATTTGCAAAACGTTTCGACTGTTGTGCAAACGTTCAACAGAAGGAGCATTATCTTTATTCACTACCTGACTACTTATATTTTTCTTTCTTAATCCTACCTTACAATTTTTTCATTTTGATTACAGATCTGTAATTAGTAATATGCAATTGCATATTTGTCTTACATCTAAATATTAAGAATACGAGCGCTCGTATAATGACAAAAATTGGCTTAAATCTAAAATTTCCTTATTAAACTTAATTATATACATATTCAATTACTTAACCTAAGCGTTCTTAAAAATCTAAACAGATATAAACAAACACCTATTGTTTTGGTTGTCCTTACCACAATACTGCCTGAAATAAACTAAAAGGAATGAAAGATAATTTAAAAAAATAAATAAAATTTATATTGCCTTAACCATAGACTTATAACTTCCCTATATAAAAATCTAAAGGGATATAAACAAATACCTGTAATAAATTTGTTGGTACGATGATACTTATTAGAATATTTCCTGAAATAAACTAAAAAGGATTAGGTACAGTTTGAAATCATTTTTATATCACTTTAGTTAATTGAATAACTTAACTCCATACTTCCTATGAAGATATTTCTCTGCAACAGAAACTGATTAATTGAATCCAGATAAAAACAAAAACAATTAATAGCTGGAAAGAAGATATATTAGTAACAATAAAATTTTACAAACATCAGAGTGGTTGTTAATAACTCGAAATCAATTTGATACGAAATATGAATTAAAAGCAAACTTCAGTACCAAAATAAAGAGAAAAAGATTTAGATAAATATATATTTGAGTTAAGTGATTTGAGTTAATAACATTAATTATTTCATTTTATTGTATTTAATATTCGTTGATTTCGCGACGAATAGTACCCAATATTGTAATTGAAACAACTGTCTTTTACTGCAATATATAGTACGTACAACCACGACTCTACTTGACTTTATTGCATTATATTATTCAATACACCTTTCAATGCAAATTTATTGTAAATGGAAAAACTGAAAAGAAAATCGCGAATGGACTTTGCTTTTCTGGAAAAGAATTTGAAAATTTATAAAAGTAATTTAATTAGCTTCTCCGTAAGCTTGAAACAAAACATCGCGATGAAAAATTAAAACTGAACAACTCGAACAACAATTATCCACTACTTTTGTTTAAATAAAGTAAAATAAAAATTTAATAAGCTATCTCGAATGAAGAAATATTCCTTGAAATAAATGATCACCAATCATCAAAAAATAAAATGAATTTCCATTTTAAATAAAACTTTGAATAAAGTTCTATTTAAAACTTTATCGTATCTAATAATATCCTGAAAACATTAAATTCATATATTATTTAACAGTATTTCCAATAACCGAACGCTCAAAATTTTCAAAATTAAAAAAAGGGAAGAAAAAAGATAGGG